ATTAATTATCTACTTATATAAACTATAAATAGATATAAATAGTATTATATTACTTATATTTGTTATCTAATTATATATTACTTATATATTTATTATATCTATTAATATAGTTGGAATTATATCTAATTAATTTGAAGTCATTCTATTACTCCCATCCGAAAGACCGAAAGTCCGAAAGAGGTACGAAATTATTCTATTATTTACACTTGTTTAATTACTAGTTAATTTGCTACATTTGACTCTTGTTTAATAGTTAGATAAATAGTTAATTAGTTTTTTACAATCTTTTATTAATTGCTACATTTGACTCTAGTTTAAAAAATATGTTGTACACAAAACTAGTTAATTCACTACTTAATTTGCTATAACTCGAATTAATAGTTAGATAAATAGTTAATTAGTTTTTTACAATTTTTTATTAATTGCTACATTTGACTCTAGTTTAAAAAATATGTTGTACACAAAACTAGTTAATTCACTACTTAATTTGCTATAACTCGAATTAATAGTTAGATAAATAGTTATTTAGTTTTTTACAATTTTTTATTAATTGCTACATTTGACTCTAGTTTAAAAAATATGTTGTACACAAAACTAGTTAATTCACTACTTAATTTGCTATAACTCGAATTAATAGTTAGATAAATAGTTAATTAGTTTTTTACAATTTTTTATTAATTGCTACATTTGACTCTAGTTTAAAAAATATGTTGTACACAAAACTAAATTCACTACTTAATTTGCTATAACTCGAATTAATAGTTAGATAAATAGTTAATTAGTTTTTTACAATTTTTTATTAATTGCTACATTTGACTCTAGTTTAAAAAATATGTTGTACACAAAACTAGTTAATTCACTACTTAATTTGCTATAACTCGATTTAATAGTTACATAAATAGTTAAATAGTTTTTTACAATTTTTTATTAATCGCTACATTTTTTAGATGGATCGTCCTAGATATTCGGTTGATATGGGTAACCTCGAGTGCAACCGAACGAAAGAGCTTGCGAGGAAGAGATCCCGCAAAGGTAAATCACATATCGGCTCTTCATCTCAAAGTCGAGATGATTTTGATACGGGTTACGTAAGGAGGGATGGGGATGCGATGACCGACGAACAACTAGAACAAGAATTGCAACGACATAATTCCCGCTTTTTTCAAGACCAACCGAGGACCATTGACGAAGAAGAGCTCGAGGACGAGGACGACAATGTGGAGGAAGCAATTCCGGAGAGCCACGACGACGAGGAGGAGGAGGGTGGCGGCAGCCATGACGCCGACCAACCAGCCTCATCCCAAACAGGTACAAAAAAAAGTAAATCTGAATTAATGGCTAATAATTTTTCTAAGTGGAAGGACCCGAACACCGGGAATTGGACCGCAACTTGCAATTGGTGCAAGAAAAACTATAGCTTGGGGATTTCCGGCGGATACGGATCCGCCACAAGACACCTTAAGTCCAAACACCCAGTGGCGGATCTACCATGTTACTTTTAGGTGTTCAAATTTATTTTTCAAATTTTAGGTGTTCAAATTTATTTATAAAAAAAATCTATAAAATTTATATATGTATTTTTATACAGGAAAAAAATATTATTTGGGTGTTCACAAGAATATTTTTGAACATATATAGGTCCGCCACTGCAAACACCCGATGGAGTATGCAAAATTAGGCGGCGGAACGGGGAAGCAAACGCAAATATCGAGGTTTGCAAATTACCAACAAGCTTTTGGTAATTTCTCATACAATGATGCACAAAATTTGACAGGTATGGCTAACTTACTTGTTGAAGAAAATTTGCCTTATTTGTTTTCTGAAAGTCTTGCTTTTCGTGATTATGCACAAACTTGTTTAAATCCGCAATATAGAGGTTATAGTCGCAAAACGGTTAAGAAAGAAATTTCAAGGCTTTATGGTGCGGAAAAGGTAAGGTTACAAAATTATTTTGCAAACTTTGATGGACGTGTTACTGTATGTTCTGACATATGGGAGGATACTTATCATAATTTACATTATTTGGGTCTGACTGTACATTATATTGATAATGATTGGCATATGCATAAACGTGTTCTTGTTTTCCGTGAATTTAATGATCGTCACACCGCTGAACATATTTATATTTTGATTGAACGTATTTTAATTGAGTATAATTTAATTGATAAGGTGTTTGCTATTGGTTTTGATAATGCTACTAATAATACTGCTGCTATTCCTAGATTGCATGAATTGTGTGGTTCTACTTCTTTGATGGGTAGATTTTTTCATCAACGATGTGCATGTCATGTTCTAAATTTATGTGTGCAAGATGATCTAAAAGCGTTGGGAGCATCATTGGAGGTAGTCAGGGGGGATTAGACGTATTTGGGGTAATGGACAACTTAGGAAAAAATGGCATGATTATTTGATAGAAAGAGGTGAGAGATATGTGGCTTTTCCAAAAGATTTGTCTATTCGTTGGAATAGTACCTATAAGTTAATTGGAGTTCTTCTTAGATATAAACAACATTTTGCTGCTTTTATGAAACAATATGATAACTATATTATAAACTCGACTGAGATCGACACATGTGAAAAAATTTGTAATGCTTTGATATATTTTAATAATGCAACTGAAACTTTTAGTCATGTTTATAAACCTACCTCAAACCTATTTATTCGTGAAGCTGTTAATCTCGCCGGTGCTTTTTCAAATTTTGAGAATGCTGATTATGTGAGTTATTTTGCTGGTTTTATGAAGGAAAAGTTTTTAAAATATTATTCACATATTCCGCATATTTATGGTATTGCATTTGTTCTCGATCCTCGTTTTAGACTTGGTTCTTTAGAAGAATGTTTGAATTATTATTATGCTGCTTTTTTTGGTCCATTGCCAATGTATGAGGACAACCCAATTGATCCGAAAAAAGAATACAACGAGGTTAGTGATATATTTTATGCATTATTCAATGAGTTTCATGCACAATATGGTAATGCGCCCCCTCCCCCGACACAAACATCATCTAAAGGAAAATCAATTTTCAAATCTATGTTTGCCAATCTTATTAAAAAAACGAAATCAACTCCCGCTAAACAACAAAGCACAATTAATGAGATTTCTTTGTATTTAACTTATGATGTTGATTTTGAAGAAGATGATGATTTTGACGTACTAAACTGGTGGAAGGGAAAAGAAAGAATGTTCCCGATTTTAGCAAAGATGGCTAAGCAAGTGCTATCAATACCGGTTTCAACGGTTGCCGTGGAACAAGAATTTAGTTCGGCCGGCAATGTTCTAACACAAACCAGAACGAGGTTGAGCGCTGAATCTCTTGAGATGCTTATATGCTACCACGATTGGTTGAAAGCAGCCCGTAGAGCTCAAGAAATTGACATCACTCCATCCCAACACTTTATGGATGAATCTACAACAGAGGGTGACTCTACCTATGCCGGAGATTCCGATTAAAAACAATTATAGTTCCTATTTAATTTTCAAATGTAGTTCCTATTTCATTTCAAATAAATGCACTTGAAGTTTGTTTTTTAATACTTGTATAAAACTATAAAGTATAAAATATAAATTAAAAAAAAAAATTAACCGGCCTGGCCTGGCCCGGCGGGTGGCCCGACCCGTGACCCGGGCGGGTGGCCCGGCCCGAACCGGACCCGTCCAACCCTCGGGCCGGTCCCGGGCCCATGTGATACGAACCGGCGGCCCAACCGGGCCTAGGCCCGGGCCCGAGCCCGACCCGGCCCGAATCCATCCCTAGTTTGTAGTTTGCACCGGAAGCCTGGTTTGCATGAGATCTTCCCCCTATATATATATATATATATATATATATATATATATATATATATATATATATATATATATATATATATATATATATATATATATATATATATATATATATATATATATATATATATATATATATATATATATATATATATATATATATATATATATATATTCGGACTATTATAATAAATTATATATATTCTTTATATTTCGAGTATATATATAAATAAATAAATAAATAAATATATGTGTGTGTATATATATATATATATATTAAATTATATATTAATGTATAACAATTACTTAATTATACAATGGGAAGTAATGTCGGAAGTAATTAACAAAAATGAAGGAAGTAGAAACTAGTTAAAGGAACTAGTTAACTACAAATGTATATAATTAAATATCTATTCTAATATAAAATCAAAAGAATTGTGATGAACAATGTTCCCGCTTATAAGTGTCAACATCACTTCCTTATTTTTTATTGCGTTGAAATATTCAAAAATATATACTCCCTCCGGTCCTAAATAAAGTTCACACTTTTCTTTTTGGGCCGGTCCAAAATAAAGTTCACACTTCTTCTCTCTTCCTTATTTGGCAAATTATCTACGTCAAAACAATGCAAAACAGTGTCAAACAGTGCCAAACAGTGTCACAACAGTGTACTCTACAATAAAGACAAATTTATTTCCTTAATTTGTGTGAAGTCAAACACTGAACTTTATTTAGAACCGGAGGAAATATATAACTTGAAGATATTAGTAGGGGTGGATTCGGGCCGAGTCCGGGTCGGGCCTAGGCCCGGGTGGGCCGGCGGTTCAGGATTGGTGGACCCGGGCCGGTTCCGGGCCTCCCCTTCATGAACCGAGGCCCAGCCCAGGCCCGAACAGGCTCGGCGAGTACGTGTCTTCATCAGCGTGCACAGTGCCAATAGGAAGAAAAGTGTATTATTGGTTTGGTACTCCGCGGCTCCGTCCATGCCTCTTGATTAGTCAAATCTGATGAAGTGGTTTATGCTCAATCTACACGGCAAGGGTTCATGCTCAAGCTATGAATACAAAGATCCAGCAGATGGACCATTCACACCAAGTTCGGAAGTTCCTGCTACCAATTCTTCTCTAACTCTACATTTCATTAATGAAATACTAAATAAAAGTCGAATAATTAAAAGTAGAGATGTGGAGTACCCAGTAAGGAGTACGAGAAGCCATAGCATCGAACTCAATACATCTTCATCAAAAAGATAATAACAGTCCAAATGATGTGAACTGAAATAATCAGCTCTATGTCCTCACCAATATTTTTTGCATATATGGTATCCATAATATAAGTAAATACGGAGTATATCCTAAGAAAGAATACAAAGTAGAGCTGGTTCTTCGAGCTCCATAATGCACATTAGAGTATTTTGATTCATTATTTAGCCATTTAAAAAAAGAGCTACCTAACTGCAAAGAATCAATGGTGCAAAAAGGAATGTGGCAACTGAATGTTTTACGAATAATATATATTTGTTATTCTCTGAACCACTCTTCTAATCTTTTCTTAGAGAGAAGCCAAATGATCAGACCTTGTTCATACTTCCTCATCAGGGAAGTGTTACCCTCACTTCCTTCCTGTCTGCTCCAAATGCCTGTCCATATTAATGTGCAAAGAAAAACCACACCTTAACAAAGTAAACCAGCAATTTTCTTGTCCAAATCTATCTTGCAGAATTAATCTATGCACTGCCCTTTTAAATTAACTACACCGCTATGGCACTATCTCATCTATTTAGTGTTTTAAAATGTTCGTATGTGATGTAGTGTAGAGGTTCATCACAAGTATTTATGAATGAATTTATGATGTTAACTATCTTTAAACAAACTAATTGAAACTAAATACCCATGCGGCAAAGTGGCAAACTACAACAGGACTAAGGCGGTGATGATGAAAATGACTACTGTCAGAACGTAATGATTGGTTTTAAGGTGAATAAAGTATGAAGTGACTAATTGCTATGAGGACCGCAGTTGGTTTCATGTTTGAAAAGATAAAAATAAAATGGGAAAAAGTAACAAATAAACCCTCAAACGACTCCAACAGTGCAAAACTGCAAAGAACTCCAGCTGAGTGCCTAAAACCAGTAAAAAGAAGCAATTAGCCTGTGGTAGGTTATTTCCCGGTTAGCTGCTAAACGAATTTTTTAATTATGTGAACATGTATTAATATGTGTGTGTGTGTGTGTGTGTTCTTGTTTCTAAATCAGGATTTAAAAATTTATTAATGGCATCCTCAACTTAAGAAATGGCAGTAGCTCGCCATCCAATGAGGTGAAGATCCATTCAATCCTCCCTTACATGACCCATCTGTCCGTCCGTGTAGCTCATGGTTGAGGAGGGTTTAAGTGTCTGGATGGCCTATGGCCGTGAGGTCATGCGATCAAATCTAACTCCCCTCAATTGCTTGAGCCACCGGGATTTACCTCGTTCAATCCTCAACATTTTTTAACATAGGGATCCCATGTAGAACAAACATTGATGACGTCATTTTTCCCATCAGATGCAATAGTATTGGTTTAATGGAAGGGTTTGATACTTTTTGGTGATTCTGTTGGCTCAACCGACGGAGCCCTCGCCTGAAACCTTAAGTCAATTCAAAAGCCAGCATTCATGGTAATTCCAGGCACCCAAAAGCCCAATTTCTTAGAAATTTATACCGATAGAAGAGGAAAGGGAAGAAGAGATTGAAATTGAAAGGAGAATATGATAGGACTCCGGCAGAATAGCACTAATGATAATAAGAGTAATAATAATATTAGAATAGTTAGTATAAATAGATGTGGAGGGGAGAATAGAAAGCAGGTTGGAATTATCATTTGGGCTTGGGATTTGGAAGTTGGAACTGTCTTGTATTTTCTCTCTCTATTTTCTGTAATACGAACCCTTTCAATGTAATCGTATCTCTGTTCTTCATCTTGTTTCTTGAAATTCATTGTGAATTAGTTAGGAACCTATCATTGGTATCAGAGAGACATTCCTGCCACCTGTCACTGGTTGATACGCGCGTAACGATGGAAGAAAGACTGGAAAGTCTGGTACGCGACCGCAAGGAGATGCGGAACGATATCGAGAGGTTGCTGAAAGATAGCGACAAGGTGAGAAGAGATATCGCTGAGTTGCGCAAACTGATTCTGCAGCAGAACGCTCAACGTGAGGGAAGAAGATCAAGAACCTCAAGGAGCAACGCTCAACATGACTGTCCTCACCGATCGTCTCAATCGCTAAGTTCGCAGGTCCCATCGCGAGAAACTTCTCACCGTTCACATGCTCCATCGCAAAACTCTTCGCAGGTTCTTTCACCGGCTCTCAGTTCGCGTCAAAATGCGAATCGATCGAGGGAAGAATTTCCCAGTTCGCAGTTGCGAACAGTTCCTCCCAGTTCTCAGACGCGAACAGTGCTTCTATGTTTGCAGATTTCGTCGAGTTCGCAAAGTTTGTCGCTGGGTTCGCAAGATTTGTCTCAAGCGCTAACAGTTGCTACCAGTTCGCAGATGTCATCGCAAGCCACTTCTCCCAGTGCACTAGCTTCGACATGTCCACCTGAATCATCCGTTTCAGATAACATAACCATCGTCGCGTCAGGAAAAGGATTTACGGGGGTTCTACTTCCGGAAATCAATACTGAGTTGAAGCAGGCGGCACCAACAGTTTCAAAAAATAGCGAAGTTGACATTCTTTACCATCAAGAAACAAATAGTCCAGCACCCACTGATGTTGCCCTGGTACTGACCAACGATGATACAGGAGAGGATAAAGAGGACCAGTTTCACACACGTATCTTTAACAATGATACTAGGAGGTATGCTGGTATACTAGGCTGTAATCCTGAGGAATTCAAATCTTGGATTGATACAAGTCTTGAACCTGGACTGGATATTCTAATGAATGTTGTGCACCATCAATTAGAAAAAGAAATTTTGGAAAGGCTGAATGAGTTTGATAACTTCAGATTTGATGGTGTTACTTCTATTAAGTGTATTCAAAAGTGGCTGGAAGTAAGTATGACTGGAAATAGGAAGAAAAAGGTGAGTTACACTACTGATGGTTATGCTGACATGTTCCTGATGTTTGACCTGTGGCACATGGCCAGTACATCAACCTTGCCTATTTTAGATCCACATGTTTCATCTGATGGGACCAAACTTACATTTGGAAAACTTAGTGAGCTTAAGGGTAAAAGTAGGACTGGTCCAGAGGCACAAGAGAACCATGATTACCCATTTTCTGGGATATCAGATGCAAAAGTTCCACTTGGGGTAGAGTTTTCACTTGGAGGTCTTGTAGCCTGGTTGGAGGGTGTGTGCAGAGAAAAGTTTGCTATTAATGATGAAGAGGCTGAAGCAACAATGCACAATCAACAATCAACTTTTGGGATGCTGCACTCTGTTACTGAGTTTCAAGATATTTTTACCCCAAGGATGAAGATGAACTTCCTGCTCCCTAATATTCAGACTATATCTCAAATGATCATCAATGCTATTGTCCATCTATTTCTGTATCTTGCAAAATGCAAGATGAATGGGCAAGGGAGTGCTAGGATTGGCTTCATACACAAGCTAGCAGAAAGGGAGGTACCTAAAGGTGAACCATTCGAACTATCAAAGTGGTTTGTGGATTCGAGGGTTGAGCCGAGACCAGCAGTTGAATTGATTAGCAAGTTATATGCAAAAGAGAACTATGGTGTGCAAGGTTTGAACCAACACTTTCAGAGATAGAAGGATGCTAAACTGGAGTGGTATAAGGGTGGAAACAAGGGGTACGGACTGCAAAATTTTGAAGGAGTATTTGATATGTGTTTTATCATTGAATATATTGGAAGTGAGGTGCTGGATGTGCATGCCTATGAGGCACACCCAAAAGAAAATGCAGAAAAGGGTCACAAGCAATTTTACTTTATCAATCTGGAGGACTCTAAGGCTGCTGAAGTGAATGCAGAGTCAATAGGTGATGTTGTGCTTCTTTAATGGGTTAATGGTTTAATTGAAGAGTTCATAAGTAAGCACATGGAGTATTCTGCCACCAGGATATTGCATCTACTCCTACTGGCAGTGAAGAACATGAAAATGAAGGTTCAAGTACCGGAGTTGCAGGTTAAGAATTCAGTGAGATATTGGGAAGGGAGAGACGCCAGGATGAAGATAAAGTTGAAGATCAAGGCGGATTCCTATCACCCACCTTGAGGACAAGGTGGATGTTTAAGGGGAGAGATATGATAGGACTCCGGCAGAATAGCACTAATAATAATAAGAGTAATAATAATATTAGAATAGTTAGTATAAATAGATGTGGAGGGGAGAATAGAAAGCAGGTTGGAATTATCATTTGGGCTTGGGATTTGGAAGTTGGAACTGTCTTGTATTTTCTCTCTATTTTCTGTAATACGAACCCTTTCAATGTAATCGTATCTCTGTTCTTCATCTTGTTTCTTGAAATTCATTGTGAATTAGCTAGGAACCTATCAGAATATCCATGAGTTTTCTAATTGAGAGGAACAAGAATAGGCTGAAGTGAAGAATGGGAAGGAGGGTGGGAGGAAATTGCCAAGACAGACACCGTGCACACAGCATGGCACGTTTCATCCACGTGGAATTAACTTGAAAGAAACCTGTTACGAATAGTGAATGCACTTTTTTGCAGGTTTCAGGCATCTACAAGAAGTTTTTTTAGTTTGAGATGTTAATTGCACTATCCGCAACAGTTTAAGTGTTTATTTGACATATTTCCCAAATAAAATACTTGGAGACACGTTCATTCACTAACACCTGTAGTAAACTATTTGAAGTGTCTTCCACTTTTCGCATACAATGATGCTAAAGTACATCTGTACATATGTATTCCAAAACACAAGTTTTTAGTTTCTAATTCAGCTGCAAGTAGATAAATCACATATTTGTGACGATAGAGCACTCATAACACTATTTATTCTGATAAAAACTTTTCTTCCTTTCACTTTAGCAGTTCATATTTTTCTGTTAGTTTTTTCTTGGGGGAGATTATAAAATTTCTAATTTAAAAGGCTATTAAATCAATATGCATACCTCAACTCCTAGCCCTTTGGAATATACATTGGTAAAAAGTTCAGAGGGATCTGGCATTTGGCTCTCCTGCAAATATTAAGAGCAATTATATTGCTTGGGAACAGTTGTGCTAACAAGTGCAGGGCCAAGTTGTCAATTAAAGTATACTACTCCTTCCTAATAAAAGAATTCTACTTGACATTTGTTTGTAAGTTACAGCTACCAATATAATCCATATATCATGAATTATTCTTTATAGTTTTAAAATTTATGTCTTGGTAATCTTTTTTGGCAGAATACATGAAAAATTAGTTTGGTTTGACCAAAAGTTCTTTTTTACAGATGGAGCATTGTGCATTGCATATGTTTCTAACCTTAGCTTTAGCTATGGCTTCATCTACCTCTTTCCTGACTTCCTTCTCAATATCCTGGGAAAATAGAATTAAAGATGTGAGGTTACTACATTATATATCTATCAGAAAAGCAATCATTTTCAATAGTTACTAAAATCAGCAAGGATCATAATTCTGGTGGCAATAGAAAAAATGAACCCATTGTAAAAAATATCATGTTGAACTTGATCTATGATTATATAATTATATATTTCTACCTTTAGCTCCTTTTCAGTGGAAATATCATGAGCTAGTATAAGTTTTCTGACTCTTTCAATTGGATCACGCTCCTGCAATGTACGAAAAAAGCACATGCGATAAATCACATCCAGTCATTCTCATGCTAAATAAATATTCAGGTAGATCTTGAAATTTGTACTCACCTGTCTCACTCCACTGATCTCATCACGTGTGCGATATGTGCTTCCAGGATCAGACATGGAGTGCCCATGATACCTATAGGTGTCCATTTCAAGAATCTGAAAAAAACTGAAATTTTTTAATACTATCTACAAGACTATATTCATTATTAATAGAAGTTTCAGTAACTAATAGCAAAGATGAAAATATCAGTATTTTAATGTTATGTACTGATGGATATTACCAAAATCTGAAATTCATATCAACATTGGTAAAGAAAATAAAAAAGTACTTTGTAATGCTTATCAACATTACAAAGTTGCTTATCAACATTACATTGGTAAAGGACTCATGTATTGTTATGGGGAATAGTTTACTCAATGGTATGTCTAAAGTTGCAAGGTCGCTCCAAATATGACAAAAAGCTTCATTAAACTGATAGAAGTAACCTACATTTTAGACTCTGACTGTTACCTTGTCCCTTCTTTCCATCATTTGCAATGGAGCCAACGATTCACTATTTTTTTGGCTTGGGAATATGATGGTATAAAGTAAAATGACTCACTAAACTGTTTGCGCTTTTTTGTTATGAACCAGCAGTCAACCCATGCAATTTTCGACGTGATTTTCACTATGGGTCATGCGGAAACAGTCTCTCTTTGCTTTAGTACAGGGGTAAGACTGCGTACATCCGACCCCCTTACCCCACCGAAGGTGGGAGCCTTTGCGGCACTGGCGTAATGATGATGATGACTGTTACCTTCTCCCTTACAAAGAATTGATGTTATTACCAGAATAAAACAATCCCTCTGTACAAGGAAAAGAATCTGTATTCAAGACTTCTTAGTCCTTAAACAGAGTTTAACTTTTAAGAGTTAACTTTCAATTGAAATCAAAACTCCTTTAAAGTCACGTGCCAAGCAGTTTTAGTCAATAACTCCAAATTCCAAACAACCTTGGAAACAAGTTTAATTGGCATCTGCGATTAACTGATCAGTGATAATTTGTAACAACTTGTACCTCGAACGAGTTGACTAAAAAACACTGTACATTACTCAAATACAACCCTCCTTTTGGAAAGGGGCAGATGGAGTAAATAACTTCTTTAAAGAAGGATTATATGAACTCACAAGTGGTCCATTCTTCAGAGCATGCTCCTTGGCGAATTTGCAAGCTTGCTTCACAGCAAGCACGTCCATACCATCGACCTGTTACAGGAAGCAAATAATCAGTGGATTTTACACCACAAAAAAAAAAACATGAAAAGCATTGATACTGAAGTAATTGAACAGCCTCCTTGGATTTGTTCTTTTATTTACTCTAGGCTGTAGCAAATATGGAAACAAAAAATGGTGGTGGTCAGGGATACATCTATATCATAACGAAAACCAATTCAAATTATACTTCATGGTTTAATTGAATTTAGGAAAAATTCACATTAATAATCCAAACTATTAAGGGTCTTCTCATATTAATCCCAAGTATACATAATTCTAAAATAATCTGAAATTCATGGGTAGTCTTCTCATATTGATCTACCATGACCTGCTACTTACTAAACAGGTAAACAAATTAAAAAAGAAAAGAAAAAGAAAAAGGAAAGTAAATGCATAGAGGGCGGACGACTGAAGCCTAGCCTTTGCCTACAGTCATCTTCCCCATTTGCTTTTCTTTTCCATTCTGATGCAATTGACGGACAACACACTAATAAGGAGACGAGTTGATCGAATGATTGGGCTGTAGCCATGGTTTCCAGATCCAGGATTGCTCTAGCCATGAATTATTCCCCTCTATTATATTTCTTCATCTTTTTGTGTTCTCCATCCACGGCATATGATTATCTCCTTCCCACCTTCAAATTCATTTTGATTTACTCCGTAGTTAGGTTTTCGGCCATGCTTAGATTTGAATTCTTTCTTTCAATTTCAGACGTGAAAAGTTAATTTGGTCAATCCAAACTCAAATTTGACATTGTTCATCATGGACGATCGACAAAAATTCGATGTCAGTCGACTGGGATGGACAGACGGCAACACGGTGACGGGGGCCGGCATCAAAGAACAACTGGGTGGGGAGAGTGCAGACTCTATTTTTTAGGCTGAAAATTCATGACTCTATGTAAGTGGATAGAAAGAGCGAAGCAGGCCGGAAGAAGAAAAATGGGATGTTGCGAGAATGGACGGGCTGATCGGATGATGATGAGGAGGGAGGTACGCTCTGTGACGAGTAAAGAAAAAATATAAAAAAGATTAAAAATTGTATAAAGCCAATAAGAACAAGACATGTGGGCGGGGTGACCTGATAACCTGAATCATTCAGGTTACCGGCTCATTTTGAGAAGATGTCCTTTGTAGATTAGATTATATTGGAATTACTCATATTTGGGATTAATATTGGAAGAACCCTGATAGATGGGATTAATGGTGTGAATTTTTCCTTGAATTTAACTATATACATGTATATGTCTTTTTTAGTGTGTACAAGTACACAAAGAGGTGAGATGCCAACGTGATTTATAATCACCTTCAAACCAGGGACATAATCCCCTCTCTTATAATAGGCAGGACTTTTTGCTGCCCTCCACTCTGCTGTCCCCATGCCATCTGCATCAGCATTTAGCAAAACCAATGAAGTAATCCATGCTTTAAAAATGTGCAACAAGAGTTGGTTATGTTTAATTAACCTTCCATGTAGGAACTATTTTCAGAGTTTACATTAGTGAACTGCAATTTTATGCCCAGCATAAGACTTCCCAAGTTAAATTTAATAAGATCAAATAAAACCACTAAATAATCAATTGCATTTGTAAAGATCAATTGCTATACAGATAACAAGTCAAGGCCATAAACAAACGGTATAGCTTGCTATTGCAATGTTCCTAATGTTCAACTACCAAATTACTAACAGGAAATTAGGGAGAAAGTTTCATAGGATTAAGTAAATTTGACCATTACACAGGAACATGAAATTCATATTACTTATAGGATTAGAAAGCAAAAACAAGACAACTCATTTCTTACAGTGGTTGTTCTCGCAAACAAGAATAGCAGGCAGATCCAAGAGTGCTGCCATGTTCAACGCCTCAAACAATTGCCCCTGATTTGCAGCACCATCTCCGTACATTGAGAAGCTCACATGTTCTTCTTTTGAGTACTTCTGTGCAAAAGCTAATCCAATACCTAGGGGAACTTGAGCCCCCACAATACCATGGCCACCGTAAAATCCATTCTCCTTCTTGTAGAAGTGCATAGAACCCCCTTTCCCTTTCGAACAGCCGTCTTTTCTCCCCATAAGCTCTGCAAACGTCTCGAGTAGAGTTCCTCCGCGGCCGAGGTAGATACAGTGGTCCCTGTAAGCGGTAATAATGCAATCCTTTCTCGTAATCGCGGCTTCCATACCTATTGCCACGGCTTCCTGGCCGTCGTAGAGATGGCAGAAGCCGCGGATGAGCTTGGCCTTGTATAGAGAATCGGAGGCGATCTCCATACGGCGCATCAAAGTCATATCTCGGAAGAAGGTCATAAGCTCCTTAGGGGAGGTCTCGACGGAGCGAGACGGAGGATCAATGTTGTGGCCACTGAAAGGGAGGTTGGTCTCGACGGTGATAGCAGCGGACGAAGACAGGTGGCGGATGTACGAGACAGCTGTTGACAGAGGCTTCAGAAGGTTAACACTGCGCTGCGTAGATAAAGCCATACCGACGCCGACTGTATTCCGATTGTTTTCCGGTATGAGAGATCGAATTACGCCAAGGTGCGGCGAGTTAGGTGAGACCGTGAGGGGATGGAAGAGCAGATGATGGCGGAAAGCCATAGATTAAAATGTACGGAGTATATATAGAGTCAGAATGTTTTTGGACCCAAAATTGTTAATACGTTAACAAATGCTAAAGGTACCAAAATATACCACATTTTTACCCCATCCCCTAATGTGTGACCATAAATGAGGCAATTCATTTAAGTGAGACACCACTTAAATGAATTGGCTCATTTATGACCACAAATTAGCGGTTGGGGTAAAACTGAGGTACATTTTGGGGTACTCCTAGCAAAACTCTAATATGTTCTCATTTGTTCTGCAAAAATGAGATAGGTACCCAATCCTATCCCAATTTGTACCCCATATAAAAGCCTTCCTATTTTTACTATTTTTTTACCCCTTCAAACATCTCTTATCCCACACCCTCTCTTTCTTTCTCTCATCCGTCCCTTGCTATTCTCTCACCCTCATTCCCATTTTTTCTCCTCTTTTCATTTCAAGAGCTCTCATCTCCATTTTTGAAGGTTTCAAGATCTCTCCATCTGGTTGTCTCTAAGGTAACCATCTCTTCTCAAATAATGAGGTACGTACTCTATTTTTTTTTCCAACGCCTCAATCATTTCCCTCTCCTCAACGCTCGCCGATCCGAAATCCTCCATAAATCAAAGCACGGCCCGACACCTCAGATCTCTGGCGGTAGAGGCCGGGGGAAGCCCCATCCGTCATGAGGGGCACTGTTTCGTCATTTTGCTATTTTTTCCTCATTTTTTGGTATTTTTTTCGTCCAACTCCACATGAAAAAGGGTTGTCTGTCTGACAGACAAATTTGAAGTGCAGTGTCTCTCTAGCTGAGCATGGTTTCATAATTGGTAGAGTCTTACATAAGATGTCTGTCTAGACAGACAAATTTATTTGTTTGAGTACATAGAACAACTTTATGTATGCACATCTTCTTATTTTACAAATGTATTTTATATTACGTGTGATGACTTTTGTGATGTCTCTCTTCGGATGTTGAAAATTGGTTTGTAGTTGTCTGTGAAGTGAAAAGAGTTGCCTGGCATTCCATTTGATTTGTCTGTAATGTGGAATGAATTCTTTAAAATTAATTTGTAGTTGTCTTTATGTGAAAAACGTTGTCTGGCATTCCATTTGAGTTGTATATAATGTGAAAATAGTCTGTCTGTCTACATATGTATTGCAACAAATTGTTTGTAATGTGATATAAAATGTCTGACATTTATTCTGAGTTGTCTGTCTACAGGTCGGGAGAATGTGGAGTGATGGTGGCTTCCTTTGTAGAGCAGCTGTTAATGGGAAAGTCATGATACCAGGTTGCGAGTATGCAAACATGTGGAACAAGGTGGAGGAAGCATAGGAATTGTTATTAATGTGGGAATGTATTTTTGTGGGTTGTTTTGATGAGTTTAGTAAAACTGTATTTTATAGTACATTTTGATGAGTTTAGTAATTGTTAATGTGGTTATATAAAAGTGTTCGGAGATATGATTGTATTCGTTAATGTACAAATGAATTTGGTGAAAACCAAACATGTATAATATTGTCTGTGTTGGTATGGAGTTCCCCAGTAAAGAAGTAATTTAAATAAGTCTAAATAGACTATTATAGGTGAAATACAATCGTTGAATAGACAAACAACACAGATAACCAGACAGACATTACTTTCACGCAGAAAGACAATAACTTTACACATACAGACAATACCGTAGATACCCAGACAAACAAAAGATGTGGATAATTGTAAATGTAATATTTGCAAAAACTTACACATGTTCAAAAAAATGAATCCAATTGTTCGACATTGAACATGTAACATTATACAATATTCAACACATTTTCCCAATTGTAATATGAAAAAAATACATGTTCAAAAAATCACAAGTTCAAAACGGGCACATTTCTCCAACACTATATACTTCACCATCCTTGCATTTGTTTCTCCATTGCAAAAGAAGTCTCACACGGTATCATTTTTGTAAATGAATTAGCATCCGCTTGGAGACAGAGAGTAGTTAATTGGCCCAAACTACTAATGTCTGGCCCAGACAAAATTTGTCTGGCTGTAAGAGAGAGAGTAGTTAAATGGCCCAGACTACTAATGTCTGGCTCAGACAAAATTTGTCTGGATGTAATACAAAGAGTAGTTAATTGGCCCAGACTACTAATGTCTGGCCCAGACAAAATTTGTCTGGCTGTAAGACAGAGAGTAGTTAATTGGCTCACATTTTAAGACAAAACCGTGTTCACTTTAGGCTAGACAGACACTGCAATTCTAAATTGTCTGTCCGCCAAACAAAATACAAACAAATGACAAAAAAACAACATACTCTACTCCAAGTCTTCAACGTCCACACCTTCATCATCTTCTTCCCTTGAGGTACAAAAAAATGGAAAAAAGTCTTGAATTTCAACAAAGAATTCATTGAGTAATTTCTACAAACATGTTATGGGCATAAAATGAACTAGAGAAATTACACTAAAATTTTAATTAATTAACACCTCTAAATGATTACAATGAAACAAACTAATCAATTGTTCACTTTTATATCATACATTCATACATAATATACATAAAATCGAAAAAAGAAAAATAAAATAAAAAGCGCACATGAGGAAAAAAACGGAAAATAGAGTACGTACCTCATTATTTGAGAAGATGTGGTTACCTTAGAGACAACTAGATGGAGAGATCTTGAAACCTTCAAAAATGGAGATGAGAGCTCTTGAAATGAAAAGAGGAGAAAAAATGGGAATGGGAGTGAGAGAATAGCAAGGGACGGATGGGAGAAAGAAAGGGAGGGTGTGGGATGAGAGATGTTTGAAGGGGTAAAAAAATGGTAAAAATAGGAAGACTTTTATATGAGGTACAAATTGGGGTAGGATTGGGGTACCTATAGCATTTTTGTTTGTTCTGAACTAGTTTGATAAAGTATGATTTCTTATTTTATACTCCCTCCGTCACAAAATTATTGTCCCGCTTTCCTTTTCGGTCCGTCCCGAAATAATTGTCCCGTTTCTAAAACTTCCTTATTTGGTAAACAAATCTATACCAAACAGTGTCAAACAGTGCAAAACAGTGTCGCTGCAGTGCCAAACAGTGTCACTACAGTGCCAAACAGTGTCGTTACATTGCCATTTTCTTAATCTGTGTGAAAAACCAAACGGGACAATAATTTTGGGACGGAGGGAGTAACTTTCTAAGACTGATCCAATCTTATACTAGTATGTTTCAGTTTGATTTGATCTGATTTGTTTTAGTTTGGTCTGATCTGGTCTGTTTAAGTCTGGTGTGGTCTGATTTGTTTTAGTTTGGTCTGATTTGATCTGATCTGATCTGAGACTTTTTTAAGAGAACAAAACGATATAAGGATTACGGACAACCATCAGCCCTCGAACCAGATTTAGAGTTAATTACCTTCAAAAAAGCAATATAAGTATGTTTTTACTTGGACTTTAATTTGTGCCAGACCAGACCAGACTTAAACAAACCATATGAGACCAGACCAGACTTAAATAGACAAGACCAGACTTAAACAGACCAGACTTGACTTTTGTAGTTACTCCCTTCGTCCCGAAAAGGTTGGCCAAAGTTGGCTTTCACGTGGATTAATAAAGTAAAAATTGTGTGGTTGAAATTTGTGCAGAGGAGAGAGAATTAATTTTAGCCACATATTCCTTACTTTAAATTGAAATGGTAAATCTTTTTGGGACATCCAAAAATGGAAATTTGGCCAACCTTTTCGGGACGGAGGGAGTATAAAATACACAGAGACTAGACGTTTATCAGACCAGACCAGACTAGCAAATTACAGTCCAAGTAAAAATATCCTAACGCGCTGATCCTATAATGGGCTTGCTTACATGAGCCAAAGAAGGTTGAAATAGACCTTCCATCACCTAATTCTAATCAACGGCCGATACACCTTTTGGTCAATGAGGGCACATGCCCCCAATAAAATTTGATTTAGGTTTATAGTTTTTGCAATTTTTACTTAGTGCCTCATAAAAAAAATTGATATGCCCCCATTAAATTTTCATGTCTACCATTTTTAATCTATTTTAGAGTTTTATATGTCCTCACTTAGTTAACATTCTGTGATCAAAAATCACTTGCAATAAAAAAGTGTTATACCAAGTTCTTTGATTGAATTTTTTATGTATATTTAGTTTCTACGTGGTTAGGGACTAACTTTATTTGAGTTTGAAATTTAAGATTAGCTAAAATATTTTGACTTTTCATTTCCATTTTATCCATAAATATTCACCCTTATATGGGAGACAAAATGGAACAGAAACGGAGACGAGTGGATCATGGAGAACAAGAGACATTGCAGAACAACATGGAAGTGGAGATGGGCACACCAAAAAACGGGGAGGAGGCGGGCTATAACGCCCGCCTCATAGATAACAAAATAATGCGATGGAGGAAGCAGAAGAGATGGAAGCATGCAAATTCCATCACCTGGGCTTTTATTTTTGTTGGTACTTGTTTTTTTGTCATTGTTATCTTTTTATTTATGCTTACAATAAGGGTACTTGTTTGGAGGGTCGTTGTTTTTTATTAGGTTTATTCTTGATGTATTACATTGAATGATTAAGTTGCTGCTACATATTTCTAAATATGTAGGGATTTACAAATGAAATATATGATTGATGGGAATAATCTTAATAGTATTGGAATACTAGTTAATGATTGTTTGTGATTGTTAATGAATTGAATCTAAGGATTTGATTGTAAGTGATGTACTTGATTGTGGTTCAAGTAACTAAATTGATGTAATGTGATGCTAAGATCATGATGAGGCAGTCCGTAAGGATATCCCGAAATAGATTATTGATATTACAATTCTAGGCATAGCGAGTGCTTAGGAATTGAGGTCTATGCCAATGCAAGGAGATGTACTTGAGCCCGATGCTCTAGAATTGCATTGGGTGAACATGACGTCGGAGATTGGTGGAGTAATTGACTTGTGAATGATGTGCATGGTGATATAGTCGAGTTGGACTCGAGGAATACAAACATGTGTGTTAGGGTTGAACCCTATGTAATGTCGTGACTAGGGGTCACAAGG